TCTCCAGACTCCTTTTACTGTAACAAATAGAACTCCACTGAGTCTGAAGGGAGCTTAGACACCTATCTTTGATGCAGATACACACTAACAGACACTCAAAAAACCTTGGGCAGGATGAACCTCTCCCCTGACTCTTTGCTATGCCTGTTAAGCTGAGGTGAACCCCACCCAGTCTATCAATTTTTGCTGTTCCTCATAAAAAATATTCAATATTAACCAGACAACCTCACATAACTTCACTTTAACTGCCCACTGGGAACTTCACTGGACATTGAGAAGCCTCTGGGGTTGCATGGGTCTAGAAACTTGCAGTATGAGTTGGAGCTTCCAGTTTCAGAGCACCCATCAGCAAGCAGGTTGTTTACCAAGTCATGCTGGGGCCTTGCACTGGAGCAGATTCTGAACTTGTGTGATTTGGGGAACCAGAAACTCCCTCTTGTATCTTCCTTAAGCCTGAATTTGGAGCAATACAATAAAATGAACTTAAAAATGAAAAAAATTTAACACGCAAGGTTTTGTTAGATTTTCTTTTTGCACAGCTATGTGACATCTTTATTCTGCTTATCAGTGGTTAGTAGACATATTTCCTTCCTTTCCACTGGACAAAAAATAATGCATTTAGAAATGAAAGACACTGATGCAGGACTCTCCTTAATTTTCAAGGTATAAATGGACATTTACATAATGCTTTTTTGAATATCAGCATTTTTCATTATAGCTTTATGCCAGGAAACAGATGTCATTATTTAATGGATTAGTTGTGCCTTTTGTATGTTTTGCCTGGTAGCTCAGATCATGATGAAATCAAGACACAACTGGCTGTGCAGAGCTGACTAAGATTTAGCTTAGGCAAAGGTCTTAAGTCAAGGTAGCACAAAGAAAATGTCCCACTTCAACCACTGTCAGCTTTAGCTATTCTGTCAGGAACTTATCCACTACTGTTCTCCACTTTAATTCCATGCTGTGACTCAGAAGTATATTTTTGTGCTCAACATAGAAGTGATATAGTTTGGAACACCATGCTCAAGGAGACATAAACAGTTTAACTTCACAGGTAAGCAGTGAGCCAGGTCCTGGCAAGAGTAGAATTAAAGGATCAGTTTTACCAAAACAAACCCCGCTTTGTTCTTTAGTAATGCTGACAATCAGATAGTTGTAAAAAACTGTCCTTAACTTGCAAACTGAGACTGCTAATACAAACAATAGGCATGTTTGAATTTTTGTCACAGCTTCCACTGGATGATGTGAGAGAGATGTAAATGCTGAACACCATAAAAGCCATGTGGCTAATGAACAGAGCAAAGTAAAAAAAACATGTGTTGGACACTGTCCACTCTGGTTAATACGATTTGCAAAAATAATCTGCTGGCAAAATGGAAAAATTTTACAAATTCCTTGCTGATTTTTCACAGTAAAACAAGTAATTTTCTCTAAACTGTGGATAAAAGTTCCTCCTTAAGGCAGAGAACATTGCTTTGTAGTGTCATGGTGAAAGAAGTTCTTTGCCGAACTTCAGAGGAATCTGGGTTCCTTTTTCTATGTTCTTTACTTTAGTTGTTCCCTTGTCAATTGATTTTCCATATAATGCACAGTTATATAAATAAAAATGGCTCATCTGTTAGTTGAGTCAGGAGATGGAGAGTAAATTGTCAAGTTCATGCAAAAAGCCCACAGCATCTGCACTTTGTGAAAAAGTGCTTTTGTAGTACTGAGAAAGAACAGAAAGGAGGGATTGATTGTATGTCTATGTGTAGGTGGTAAAAGTATTTTTAGATAGAGGTGAGAGGCTGGAAGCTGTAACAAAACCCGAGAGTAGGAGCAGAGTAGACAGGAGATGCCACAGGTAATGTGCTTTATATCAGGCAAATTGAGCCATTTAATAAAATAAATTTTTAAACAGTATTAGAAGTAAAATAAAAATATTTTCTATTTATATCAGAACTATTTGCTGAATTAAGTGCATTTGTCTAAATTCAGAATGGTTTCTCTAGTGCATATCACTGCTGAGATTATAGGATCAAATAGAGAAAAAGTCTCTAAAAAGGAATGAAAACCCAGGGAAATATCAAATGAACAAGGTGGATATTTGCAGTATCTGCCTTTTAGATGTGACAAAGCTTCTTGTATTTGCTTTCTCGGTCACTTCCGAAAGAAAGAATCAACATAGTTCATAATGAGATTAGTCTGTTTGGTGAGGAGGGGTGGCAAACAATGAATAAACAACCCGGGTTTAACACTGATCACGTTTTAAGCAGCACATTTCTGCTGGTTACCTAACATCAGTCCTGGCACTATGAGTAATAGGATAGCAACAGGCACTCTCAGATATGCGTTTCAAATTAATTAAAACATGACACACATCTAGAATTACTGAACTGAGGCATAAAATAATGGACAGTTGAACTTGCAGAGATTTGAAACAGAATCAGAAGAAAAAGAACAGAAAAAAAAGTAACATGGGAATTTGCCCTTCAAAATTAGTAGCTCATCTTTTTAGCCATATGACCCTGGTACTTCAGAACTTTGAATCTAATGAAAGAAAGTAACATTTCTATGTCTAATTCAAACACCAGAAATGGATTTTTCCAAGACCGGATTTTCAGAACTATGAAGATTGTTTTCTATGGATTTGTGTTTTATGAGAGATTGTAAGTATCAACTTTTTCTCCAGAATTGCAGCATTTACAATGTCACTTTCTTATGTGGCTTCTTCACCTTTGTATGGCTGATTGCTTTAACAGAATGCGTGGGACCCTACCTGCCTTTAGGACAACTCCTTTTGGCAAACATAATTAAATTTGGACAAAGGTTTTGACAGTCTGGCCTAACAGAACAGACAGGCACAGTTCAAACTCTGACTTTTTGTAAGGAATCTGTTTATAAATACAGAGATTGATGTCATTGTGTGGAAGTTATTATACAGAACATTCAGAATACAACAGATACATGAACTGTAATTTCTACCATAGCTTGCATATGCTACACAAAGCAATTACAGGTGGCAATGTTTCAATCTGAGATTTGTGGGGTCAATACATGTACTGGATGTTTCCAATTAACATATACATATAGTCCCATCTGAGGTGTCAGTATGACAGCACTCCTGCATCTCCAAGAGAAAAAAGTCACAGTGAGTAGAGGTTGTGAACTCCAGTTCCTTCTGCTGCAGTGAAATGATGGAGAAATCCTTCAAAGGCAGAAAACATAACAGATGCTAAAATTGGAACCTGGACTGGACAGTTTATGTGTAATGTGGAATCTTTCATGACTGCACTTGGGCAGGGACTCAAAATTACATATCTTCTGGCACCTTTGGCTCTATTATGCATGTTGATATTGTGTGGGGCCATTGGTTCAACATTGACTCAGAGGGAAGAGTGCCTCAGACTGAATCACTAATGCCATATCCTGCAGCACTCTAGTAAAGCCTTGGCAGTAAGGAAGGATAATTACAGTGTGGTTACTATGACTGATTTTTGAGATGCTTTTATATATACCTGAGGCATGTCAGTAGGTAAAATGCAGTCAGCTTGCTCAGAAATAATCAAATGTCCCAAGTATATTATTCTTTACCGCAAAACTGGACATACAGATAGAATCCTACTAGACAAAAACATCCAGCCAAACACCCCACCCTGAATTACTCTATATCTTTTTCATGTATATGTAATTTACAAAAGTGTAAGTATGAATACAAAACTACTGTCCTTTTACATGTTCCTTTTGCCTTTTAATGATAAATAAAAATCCATATACAAGATGTTATTTCCCTTACAATAGAAATGATGGTCTCCAGTTTGTTCTTGAAGACTGTGAATAACTGCTGAAGGAGTAGGTGTGACAGTGGTATCAGCCTCACGACATCAACAGAATTTTAATAATGTTTTCTTGTAAACAGACAGCCCAGAGTCAAATGATTCTTGGTGTGTCAAGGAGACATTCTCAAAAGTATTCAGGTTAAGATACACAGAAGCAAAACTATAAGGTATGTGCAGTGTTTACTACTTGTCTTACATGTTTGTCATATAACACCTGCTATGAGACATCAAGAAAATATCGATAGTGCAAATTCAGTATGAATTGAGGTTCAATATGAAAATAAGTCCACATGTTCAATTACACCTATTGATGTTATTTTTTATCTTTTCCTCAATAAGAGTCTGTTTCTCTCTGTCTCTTGCTGGAATTCATCTGGTTTCTTGCCATTGCCTTTCCTTCCGTCAGCAAACCTGTTCTTTCCACCTTCTGATGATTTTACTGTCTCCTTCCTTCTTCCGTGTGTTAAAATAACCAAAGAAAAAGTCAGGCCAGCATTAGCCTTCATTAGATTAATGGAGTGCAGACAGTTCACAGTCTCCATGCCATTGTTTCAGGATGTTTGCAGATTCATTCAGATACTGCTGTATCAGTTACAGTCAGTTCATGCTTTCAAGGTTATCTTTGCAACCAAGAGAACTGGACACCATTTTTTAAAGGAGAAAGATAAGATTACTCATAATTTCAAAATGCTGTGAAGGCCACCTAAATATTCCCAAACAAAGTGTAAATACTTTTAACAGTAAGAGACAACAAGTAAGTTGCAACCGACAAGGTGTAACAGACAAGGACTAATTATTTATTTTATTATTTATTTTATTGCTCAAAAAATATAATTTCTTCAGTTATCCATTATTAAACACTGAGATCGACCCTTACTTGCAGCGAGGAAAGGGTGCAGTTTTTGTTTTCCATCTGCTGTTCTCACTGGGGACAGAAAGGCCGAGATGTTTCACACCAGCGTGTGAATTAGATGATGATGGTATCACTGCAGCGGCCGCATTGGGTGGGTTTAGGGGGGTGCAGTAGGACGGACGGCGGGACGGACGGAATGCCCAGTGCGATCCCCAATTTCGGGGTCCGGGGCCCCGCCCCCGCCACACCCCCCCGAGGCCACGCCCCCGCTCGGCCCCGCCCCGGCACGTGACCGCGAGCGGTGACGCCGCCCGTGCCCGGAGCCGACACTCGGCGGGGCTTGCGGCGGGAGCGGAGCGGGAACCGGAGAGACCGCAGGCGGAGCGGGGCCCGGGGCGGCAGTGAGCGGTGGTGCCGCGCCGCTCGGCCCGGCGCGGGGAGGAGGAAGAGCGAGAGGGGGGAGCGGGGGAGGAGCGCGGGGCCCCGGCGGGACGAACGGGCAGGGCTGGGTGGCCCCGCGGTGGCACCCTCCGCGCCCGGGCCGGCGCCACGCAGGGCGGCCGCAGCGCCCCCGGCGCGGTGCCGCCCCCGGTGCGTGCCGCCCTCTCGCCAGTCCGGGGCGCCGGCGGGAGCGCCCCCCGCGCCCGGCGCCCCGCGAGGGTCCGGGCGGCGCCGGCCCCGCAGTGCCCCCGGCGGCGGGCAGCGGCTCCGGCTCCGCGGGCGGCGCCGGGAGGCAGGCTCCGCACCTGGGCAGTGCCGGGCGGGCCCGCCGTGCCCGGGGCAGCCGGGCAGGGCCGCCGAGCCGCCGTGTGCGGGCGGCCTCGCTCACCTGCGGGAAGACAAAGGGAGGCAGCGGCGCCCCGCGGCCCTTCCCGCGGCGCCCCCGCGGGCCGGGGGGGTCTGGCGCCCTTGTGTGGAACTTGAGCGCGGCAACCTCGGGCGGGTCGGTGCGGGTGTGCCGCGCTATTTGTGGCCGGCCCTCGGAGTCAACAACTTAACAAAAGCCTACAGAGCCAGCGGGGCCGGGAGGGAGCTCGTGGAGGTGCGGGGTGCTGCAGCCCGGCTGGAAAGTTGTCCTGACAGTTGTTTGAAATGCATCGCTTGTTCAATATCTGAGTCACGGGGAATTATTAAATGCTTACTTATTATGCCGTTAGTGTTTAGGGACGTGTGAGCTCCCGGAAGGTAGTTTCCTCCCAGGTACTGCTTGATTTCTTAGTATGTTAGTAATCTCTGAGAAAACAGTGAAGGGCTAAGCTTGTTTTCATAAAGCTTGCAAGTTGTCTGTGTTTTGGTTATATATGTTGTTTCCATTTGCATGTTTGCATCTATTTTTATACAACTTTTGCATGCTCTAGATGAACACTTTGCAGGTGGTGGTTCTTACAGGCACCGGTGAAGCTGGTCTGCATGAAAATACTGGCTGAGGAGTCAGGTGTGCTCGACAAGGAGTGGTGCCCCTTGGGAAGAAAGGTATGAATAGGGTTGGATTCTGACAAGGTTATTGTAGGACCAGTCTCCCAGGCAGTGGCAGTGCAGAGTACAGCCTGAACCCTTAGGAAAACTGCCCAGGGAGAAGCAGAACCATGGAATCTATTGAGCTGTAGCCAGGGTATCTCATCTGGCCTGAACTGTTAAGAATTTATCTTAATTTAGCCTCTGTAATTGAGTTTATTTCTGTATCAGCACTGTGGAAGGGTTCATTTCAGCAGTGGGTGAAGTTTGATGCTGAAAATGGAAAAAGATTATACAAGTCAACTGCTGCTGCTTTATAGGACACTGTGAACAAGGTCACACAAAGAAACTTAAGGCAATGAGTTAATAATGGCGTTTTTAACAACTTATCTTCTTGTATTATAAAGTAAGTAACAATTCCATAGCCAGTGAGTAAGGGTTTTTTTTTCCCCAGAGGAAAATAAAAGAAATATCACAAAGTATTTTTAGTATTTCTCAAGTCAGTTACCTGGTTCTGGAAGATTAGAAGAAAATACTCTGTACCTGATAATCTCAAGAGAGAGGTATGAAATACTTATTGCTTAAATCTTGATTTTTTTTTGGGGTTGGTGGGGAGTCTTGAGTTCTAGGATAATGCTGAAGTTAGGAGTGATCATATCTAATACAATATATGAGCCTACTGTATATATATCATATATGATCATACTTACAAGACTGTATCTTACGTAAATGGTCTTGAAGGAAACACGGTCTTGTGTTTCAAGGTAATTGAGTGAGCATCATTCTGCACTTAAGACTGGACGCTGTAGGGAGGTGAGGGTGCTGCTGCAGGGTTTGGGTTGCCCTAGGAAAGGCTCACCTCAGAGCAGCCCTACAGCTCTCTGAACCCTACCTGTCTGAGGGTGGCTGAAGCTGTCACATCGGGTCTAGATAAACACGGTGTCGTTTAGTGGGGACACACGAAATCTAGCTAGAGGCAAATGTTTGCATGCAGAATCCCTGGTGCTACGCGTGCACCCGCCTGTGGGGAGAGCTGCCCCCGGGCCCTGAGTGCGGAGCGGGCTGTGCCATCCCGGGAGGAGCGGAGCTGCTCGGGCTGTGCCATCCCGGGAGGAGCGGAGCTGCTCGGGCTGTGCCATCCCGGGAGGAGCGGAGCTGCTCGGGCTGTGCCGCCCAGGGCAGGGGCGCGGCGGCGCCCGCGGGCGGAGTGCTGGGGGAGAGGGAGGAGCTGACCTCTCGAACACCGAGGGTTGCCAGCCTTACTCAGCCTTAGCTGAGTAAGACGTGGGAACAGTTCCATCGGCAGTCGGAGTCCGAAGGGATCTCTGCCTCGAGTGAAAGACCTGCTCGCCTATCGCTTCCCGAACGTGGCCAGGCTGCAGCACCCGTGCGTGTCATCACCCGTGTCCTCTCCTGCGGGACAGCGTGAATGCTCCATGAAAGAAGTGGTTCATGTTTCCACATGGGGATGTGGCCCACCTTAGCTACCCTGTAGTGATTGGGTTTTTCCTCACTAGAAGAAAAGTGAGGCTTGAGGCTGTTTTTTGGTGTTCATGAATAAGTTTTCTTAGGTCTTCATTGCTAGTGAGACCTTTTGTTATTATTAACCTCTTAATCAGATATTGAGACTGTATTTGAGGTATTAAAGCTTACAGTAAATGATTTTTCATACTTATTGTCCTCTAATTAGGGTTCTTCAACCTTCTTTACTAAATTGGGTGCCATCAGCATTACAGGTAATTGTAAAGTTAAAAAAATGCAGTGAGGTTACAAGGTCTGACCAGCCATATCACTTCAGTTGTTGATTAGTAACACAATGAAGTCAGTACTCCAAATGTCAATATTGTGCATTCACACCTGCTTCACTGTGAACCCCTCATAGGGGAGGTCTGATCAAGGCTTCTGTGGCTCTTCAGTCTGTGTTCTCTGAGACAGCTTCATGAAAGGACATTACAATTAGCCATCCTCTGCGCTGCACACAGAGTACATGTGACACAACAGCTGCATTAAAAAAATTCAAGCAAAATAAAAATGATTGCATTTGAATTAAATCAAGGCCATGGTATTTGTTTGCAGACCTACAGGGTTAATTTCCCACCTATACCATAGGTATCTCTTTCTTCTGTGTTGTGGAGGAGAATTAGAGCCTTTCTTGATCCTGATGATGTGATCTCTTGTATAACTGCTTTGGTGTTCTGGCCAAACACAGAACAGAGCCTGTCTCTTTTTGATCGTATGTTCAACATTACCAAATGTTTGCTATTGACTTGATAATTTTGCAGCTTGGATGAAAGAACAAAATTTCTGCTGTTTATTTTTGTTGTTTCTTTTTTTTGTTGTTGTTTTGGAAAGGGATGAGACTGCAAAACTGACTTCAGAAGTGGATAGAACTATTTTTGTAGCGGTTCTGTTTTATTTAACTAGTATTTCTTAAAATTTTGTGGTTTTTTAAACATAAAATGCAACTTGTTGAATCTCTCTGTCTTGAAAAAATTTTATGCGTGCATTCTCAATTAATAATCATTTGGAACTGACAGAAGAGAAATGAAAAATTCAAGCTTTTAAACACTTGTTAGCCCTGTGGGAAATTGGAGGCTTATGTTCTGTTTTTGGTTTCTGTGTGGGAGAAAGGGCAAGGACCCATTCACTGTTTCTCTATATTTCAACTTTTGAGGTAGCAGAGCTTTGAGGTAGACTGCAACTCGGTAAGACTTGCATTTTTCTGGCATATGACCTGGAAGCCATGAAAGGTGTTGGTAACAACTTTGAAGAAGTGTTGCAAGAAGTCTGGTTTAGTAACAACAAAAAAATAACACTTGCATGGCAGAGCTTCCAAAACTAGGAACAGAGTGGGAATGGCTGCAATTTGTTCATGTTTACCTCCTGCTATTGTTGCTAAACAACTGCAGAGCTGCACTTAAAAATATCTATTTATGTAGAGCAGCAGGTAAGCAAGTTGTTTTGTACCGAGGCTGCAAATAGACTGTAATAATATGAATGTCAACGTACCATTTTATGGTAGAGAGTAAACACCAGAATCCTGGCATTCTTTTCTACTGCTTTGTGTTCCTGTTGTCAGCTTTGTTGAATGTGGTACCGTCATTCCTTCTGCCAAGTCCTCGATAAAATTGTAAATCTGGCTTTGTGATTCCATTTAGAGTCCTGTAAGTGGTGGTCGCTTTCTAGTTACCTGTGGGAAATGCTTTCTGGAAGTAAAAGATGATGGATACAAGAGAGAGAAAGACATAGATTAAAGATGGGCACTTCTGTCTTGGCATCATACTTTAGCTTTTTACCTTCTACTTTTTCTCCTAAGTTATGTGGCAAATGTATTTTTTTTGAGGCTCAGATCAAATAATAGAAGTGGCAAAAGAAAACTGAAGAACTCTCAGTGGTTTCTGCTTTAGCTCTCCCCAGAAGTTCTTTTTTGTTATTTCTGTCTGTAGTACTGTTTAGGAACTGAGTTCACTCTGCATGTGTGTGCCTGCATAGAATTGCATTAGTTCCCCTCTGTGGCAGGGTAAATGCTACAAATCTCATCATAAAGTCTTAACTTGTAGAGCTACAAGTTTCTACATAACTTTTTTTATTCATTAAACATGGATTTAAAAATGAAAAGATGTGTTTGTTAATCTTTGTAAGATTAAATGTGGCAGCATTTTACTTGAATTTTCCTATGTTCTATGTGAATGCTGGAGGTCTTTATGTTTACTTTCATGCGTTGTTTTTCAAGATTAAAAATCACATCTTTCATGTTAATTTACTATGTTTTGTTCAGTGTAAGTTGGCAAGACTGATGCTTATCCACTCATGAATTCTGACATTAATGCTACATGATTAAATAGAGAGAACTTGTAATTCATGGGTGCAGATGCAGTTGTCTGGATTATAAGGTGCTGAAAGTACTTTTAAAAATTTTCATGTATTATTATCCTTTCATTTATTATCCATTTTGGTTTTGGTTCATAGTCCTTTTTTATTACTGTCGAGGTTTTTGTTTGCATTTTCAGTTTTAACCCTTAAATATTTGGTTAGATCAGGTTTTCTATGAGTTAAATATCACAAAAAGCTCTCTTAAGAGCAAACTTAATATACAGAATTTAAACCAGTGAAACCAAAATATTTGGGAAATGATTCTGGGTGTTGCAGTTATAGTAGCAATTTAGATAAATGAATAAGAAAAAGTGATTATACCACTTGTTTAAAAGGCAACATGACCTGCAGCCTTAGGCAGCGTGGGTCACGCAGCCCCCGGTTGTCTCCTGCTCCAGTGAGAAGATGAGGAGGCTCTCTGGGGCCTGCAACACGTGTGGGTCAGGGATTGCCAGTACATTCTGAACCTAGTGACTGGGGTGTAGCATTGCAGGAAAATTGAAGGGATTCTGTAAGGAATGCTGAGCACTCTGAAGGGAGTCCTGAACTGAAAGAGGAATCAAAATAAGGGAATAATAGTCTTCTTTTGACTATTTTGATTAAAATCAGTGTAGTAACACAGTTTCGTGAAGAAATTAAGCCTGTGTGTGAGCAAGAGATTGACTCAGACCAGTCCTCCCACTAAACCTCTGATGATCAATCAACCTTCTTTAGTAAAAGAAATAACAAGCCATTTGATAGCAGGAGACTTGTGTGAGTAGGAGAGTTAAATCGGTGGCTGCTGTTCTACTGATTTTTCTGTTTCATCACCAGGAGAGATATCTGAAAATACTGCAGTTTTCCATCAATTAATTAGTCTAAGGTTGACATAGGCAGGATTATTTTTGAAATTATTTTCTCCTGTAGTTCTCTTAAACAATCACTTTATTGCATATACGCTTTTTCTCTTACAGCTCTGATTATTAACGGGAAAATAATACTGGAACAGAATGTTGCTTACCTTTTGCCTGAAAAGGTGAAATCTTTTCAAACAGAAATGGCTGATAAGGGTGGAAAGATCCTTCCAGGACAATTGTACATTCAAGTGGAGTACGACTATGAGTACGAGGCCAAGGACAAGAAAATTGTGATTAAGCAAGGGGAGAAATACATCTTAGTGAAAAAAACTAATGATGATTGGTGGCAGGTCAAAAGAGATGAAAATTCCAAACCCTTTTATGTGCCAGCACAGTACGTGAAGGAAATACCCCGAAAAGCACTGATGCCACCTGTTAAGCAGGCAAGCATGCTGCCAAATAACACTTTGAAGTTGACACATGGATTACAGAGATCGACAGAAAATGTGAATAAGTCACCAGAGCTTTCTAGTTTTGGAAAATCTCCAGTTCAAGTGTCTTGCTTAGTTCGAGATGCCAATCAAAATCTGGGACCGAACAATACCCCTGGTCAAACTCTTGGTTTGAGTCTGGACCTTACCCAAAACAATGGAAAACTTAATCACGAGTTGCAATCTCCCAAGGTTTCCAATCAGTTTAGAACCATCTCCATGGGTCATTTCCCATGCCCAGAGTTCTTGGAAATAGAGAAGACCAGCTTTTTGCATGAACAATCTTGTGATTCAGCAGGAGAAGGCTCAGAAAAAATTCACCAGGATTCAGAGTCTGGAGATGAACTCAGTAGTAGCTCCACAGAACAAGCACAGGTAAGCCAAAAAATGGCCCCTGTATGTGATTTGTTTTCTCTCATTATTGCCGTAATTGCTTGCTACTGTTTTGAGATTTATTGCTAATAAATTCAGATGAAGTAAAAATGTCTTCTCTCAGCATGGACTTGTTATTGGAATCTGAACAGTTGATGAGTATAGCTCTAGTACTGTGCTTTGGGAATTCCATTTACATTATACAGTGATTGAAAGTTACAGAAACGCTATTGTTCTTTCTTTATTAAGATTGTTTTGATATGACACTGAATTTGGGTTATATTTTCTTTCAGAGGAAGGGAGCCTACTGCTGTAACTCCTCACTACTTGGCTTGTTGAAATAACAGTGCTAGTTACTGTTAATTTTTCCTAAGTGTGTATAGACAGCATAAGAGCTGTAAATTAATTTATGAGTGGGTTTAATAGTTTTAAAATGTTACACTTAAGATTTTCATGGAGTTTAATTTCTGGCTTGATTATTTTATTTGTAGACTTTTTTAATGAGTCAGCCCTGCCAATTCCGCTTCTCACAACTTTACTCTAGATTAAAACTCAAAACATGTGAGTTTGTTAATTAGTATGGAAGAATCTCAGGAATGGTGTACTCCTACTTCAGGCTAAAACTGAGCATTGATGGCCTTTGTCCTTAGTAAAGCAGTTTCTCTCAGTCTTTATTGTTTTTTTAACAGGCCTACCCCGCCCCCACCAAAAGATTAGAACTGACTTAATCAGGTCACTTCTGGTACTGGTAACCAAGTTAATTAGTGTGTTGTAATCCAGGTTTGTTCTTAAACCAGTGATGTATGTGTACATACACATAATTATATATGTGTGTGTGTATGTAGATAATTCCCCCACCTCACATCTGCCTCCCCCATCTTTCTGTAGGGAGATGTTAAATTATTTTAAGTTTTTTTTAAATGCTCCCTGGTCTTGAACTTTCTTACTCTGTGGTGTGGAACTGTTGTTGAAACTGTTGTTGCTTGGGTAAAACTGATTTGGTTAAATTCCACTTGGCGGCATGTATTCAGAGTACCAGAGCATCTCAAGTCAAACTTGATGCTAACTTTAGAAATTGAAAATCATTGAGAGCTGTGAATCAGTACTTCACTGATAAGACACAAGACAAATCTGCTTAGGAATGAGTCAGTGCAGGAAGATCTTAAAGACAGAAGATTTATTAGGTGATTTATGTAGTCTTGAACTGTATGAGCTCATATATATATATTTATTGAAATACTCAGAATCATTGGTTTTTCAATATCCTACTATATTCTTGGCCTCATTCTTGAAATTCAGAGTTTGTCTAGTTATGGGACAATACGCCTCTAATATTGGATATTTCATGATAATTTTATTTTAACTTCACTCCCCTGCCCCCAGATAAGGAATAAATAGGAATGCTGAATTTAATTTCTTTTCTTCAATAATGTCTTTTGTATGAATGAGTATACCAATTGTATACCAATGAGCTTTCTTGCACTTTCTTTACAGCACTGTCCTAGCTCAGTGTAGTTGATATGAGCCAGTTGGAATGATAGAATGATAATTAGATATTTATTTTAGAAGCATGTGTTGGCCTGTTGACTGCCATAGTAATCGATTGCCAAACAGATTATGAGAATATTAAGGAATGCTTAGAAAGTATATTCTACTTTAAATAGTTTACCACATTAAAATTTGTATTGCATGTTAGGACAGTTCCTTCTTCTGTGTTGATATAATTTGATGCATTTCCTTCTCTAAAGTAGATGGAATTAATATTACATGGGTGTCTTTTGTGAATAATAAATATATGGCCTGCTGCTCAGTTTTCACTGGACTTTGTGCCTGTTGGTGCAGTGACACTTAATCTTTTCACCTTTCTCCCCTCTCCCACCCTGCCCCACTGTACTCAACGCTACAACCAATTTATAAGTTTGGATTTAAACGGGGCAGCAATGCACATACTGTAGACTTCACTGGGTTATGGAAAGTCTGAAGAGGGGAGTTTTCACAGTGCTTAAAAATAAATGCTAAAAATGCCGGATTTGGGCTGTGGAAAACTTGTGGCAGTTTCTGACTGATGTTGCTGAAGAACTTGCCATTACTGCAGTCTAGGGCAAGGAGAGCGCGGGTGCTCGCTGTGCCTTGCAGTTCGTCTTATTTTGTAACTTAATCTCATTGTGCGTAATCACAAGCTCTTTAAATACAATGAAAATGTTTGACATTTAGTAGCCGTGGGGATTAAAGCAGTGGTAGCACTGATGTCACCGTTAGCTCAGTCTAAATATTCGGAGTGCCAGGCTTCTCGCTGGAACAGCCTGGCGGTTTTTTAGAATTCTTTCAATAATGAGCATTGTTTAGTAGAAATCAGCTGTGCAGAAATTAATGGCTCAGAAAGCTGTTTTTATTGCTCTTAGTCTGTAGTGAGAACATCAAGTTCCCGGCTTTCACGCATAAACAGGATTTCACTTCACAAGACTTGACTGTGCTTCTCCCTCCCCTGCCTGCTGTAGAGTTCAGTTTTATGCAGTCTGCATTATAATAAACTCTAAGCTACAGGTGTTTTCTCTTAAATTTGTAAGATTAGAAGCTAGAATGACCTTACCAATAATACCTTTGTGTGGGTAATTTTTTGGGGGATATCGAGGTGATAGTATTCAGCTTTAGCCCAACCTTCAGTGTGTTTTCAGAGGAATGCTTCTGTTATGAGATTCTTCTAAGAGGTGGTTACATTATTCCCAGAAGATGATCCTCCTTCTCCTTTGCAGTAATGAAGTGCAGGTTCTGCACCTGTACAGTCTTGAGCTCATGGGCATGCTGGCTGTGGAAATCCTGGAAAATCCAGAGCCTCCAAAGTACTGCATAAAAGAAAGATTTTTTTTTTTTTTTTTTAGCAGATGAGATATATGAAATGAAGGATAGAGAGGTGGCAGTGTGAGCAGAAGTATTTGCTAATGGAGATGTGGCACAGGATCTGGGTAAGAGAAACCTCAGGACTGGGAAATGAACATTCTTCACGTTTTATGCAAAGGAATTCCCACTATTGGGTGCAACTGTGGTATATAAGGCATTGTAAGAGTCATGTTAGTTTATGGACTAGGAAGGCTGGAGGTAATTAGAGGAAGTAGGGCTTGACAGGAAACAAGTTTCAATTTAACCAGATTTAAATCTCTGGTGGAGACAGTAACTGCTGGTAGAATTGGAACTGAATGAAATGGTTCTGGAGCGAATGCACAGCTGGGTGTAAGAATCACTGGCATGATGGTGTCACTTGAAGGTGTGAGAATCCATGCAATTCAATAAAATTTTAGGAAACTGTTGTCAGGTGTGATGTGCTGATCCCCTGGGAAGGTCAAAAATACTCAGAGATGCTGGGATTGTAAGGGGAAAAGAAAATTTTGCAAGAGGAATTCTTTAGCAGATATGGATAGTACTTGAAAGGAGCAGATGGGAGGTCCCAGCAATATGCAGTAGAAGGAGAGACCTCAGTAATTGTTCTGAAGAAAAAAAGAAATTACATGTTCAGGCATGCCTAAACAGGCAGGAAAAGACGAAGCAAAAGTAGAAGACATTTAAAGTGGTCTTGAAATCAGCCTTGGGCAGAGTTTGCAGGTAAAATCTAATAATAAGTTTTGAGAGAGAAGGTGTGCAGACAGGGAGAGAGTTGGGTAAGTTCAGAGATCATGTCCAGGACATTTAGGTGTTATCTTTGAGGATAATACTTTGGAATAAAGTTGTTACAGAAAGAAATTAGAGTCTGCTTTCAGCAATGCTAATACATGACCTATGGGAAATAACTTTATGTCTGATCAGTCACAGGAGACAGAGTATATATTTAAGAGTAAATACATGCCCGGTCTTAATGTTACTTTTTATGCTTATTAAAAGTTACTTTTAGTAGCAGGCTGGTTTTAATCATTATAAATATAGACAGTGACCTATTTGCAAAGATTGTTCTGTCTTTCATCCTCTTTAGTAATTGACTATTGCATAAACTGTGAAGCACTAAAGGGGATTATCACTAGGATGACTGTTTTGCTTTAATTCTGAATAGTAAAGATCTTAAAGGGCTCTTCCTGTCTTACCTTTGCAGTTTCTGTGGGATTGCTGTAACTTTTTAGTCAAGAAAACAAAATATTTTGTGTTTCTGTAGCTGTCAGAGCAGATCTTCTGGAGACATTGGCATTCTTGGCTTTGTCACTTAGTTTAAGGACTGGTGGCAAATGATTAGTGTTAGGCTGCCTTGCTGGTCAAATATTAAATCTCTAAAATAAATGGCTATCACTGTTTTGTGTGGCCCAGAATTAGTTTGCTTCAATGATAGGAAATTTCATGCTGTTTTTTTCTTCATTCACTTGTTCAAGGGATAAATAATTTGACGGTATCAAGGAAGCATACAAGAACTTTTTTCTTAATAAAACTGAGCATATTTGCAGATTCATGGTGTCATGTATAATGTAATATTTTGAATTATGCTTTAAGTACCATCCTTTAATCTCTTAACTCCCTAAAATCAGTATTTGTTATTCTAATGGTGCTAAATGCTGAAATAAGACTATTATAATGAGGTGAAGAATAACTTTCAATGACAAGGAACTAAAAGCTTTATAGTTTGAGTTTTATAAAACATTAATTTAATTATTTTTTTTTTTGTAATTACAGTAACTGCTGCCGGAACTTTGTAAACAGCTTGAAATGTTTGCTGAGTTACATGAGTAACTCAAAAGTTCTAGGCAGATGACATTTAAGGACTACTTTTCCTGGCTGGCTTTGTGTTTCTTTGTTGTTTTTTTTTTTTTTTTTTTTTTTTTTTTTCCCTACCTAGTGTCAGCAGGTCTGGATAGTTTCACTTTACAGTGGTGCTGTTTGTGATCAGCTTGGTCTCAGTATTTTTAATATGTAAGTCAGATAGCAGATAGTTGTCCCTCTCAGTCTGAGTGAGTAATTCTGAATTTAGATGCCCTAAAATGAGAAGCCACCGTGTCCCACGAACACTGCCTACAGCCCGTATCCCATAT